TTTTTTTTTATTTTCGAGCAAAAGTAAACAAAATCTAACATAAATTGTGGTAATTTCAAGTTAATCCAGTCCTCAAGAATACACATCTTCTTATAATCCTTCACCTTCAAAATCAGAACTTATTTATTTAATTGTTATTATTTTTTATTTTTTCATGTCAAACAGAACATATATTTGAAGCATGGCGCCAGATTTCATCCAGTTATGTTTCTGATTTGTCAACGGCCGAGCCCACGAACGTGGTTTTCGATTGAGATTTCAGGCTGGACGGCCTATATCCATATTTCTTTTTGTAGCTTCTTAACAAGATAAATCAAAATGGGCCTCCGACGTTTTAAGCCCATTTCGAAGCTACGATCCTTTACCTGGCCCATTTTCTCCCAAGTTCACATTTTGAATAATTTGGTTCCTATAAAGCACCAACCATATCACGCAAATGTATACATAAAACATGAAATTTTAATTCTTCACACAAGGTCTACAATTCAATTATCCTTACATAAATTCAAACCGTTAAACTAACCTATTATTCAACACAAACCACTACCAATCTAGCCAAAAAAAAAAGTTAAATAATTAAATCACTTTTTAGATTTACAAGCCTTCTTCCTAGAGCTCCCTCTCTTAGTCTTAGGTGCGCATTCAGTGCAGAACCAATCTTCTTCCGGTACACTGCAAAGCGGAGGGTCGAGGCAATCCAAATGAACGCCAACTCCACACCCTAAACTTCCACTCTCATCGCCACAAATGAGCATCTCTTCTGCTCGATCGCGGGACCCACATTCCCTGCACGCCACGTCATCAATGCAAAGATTTGGAGGAGTTCTTACATCATCCTCAACGACCTCATCCAATCTCCTCGTCAGATTCTCGAGCGATTTTTTGGCCCACGAATGCGTGTTGTACTGCACGTGCTTCTCGAGTGGGTACCCGGGCTTGCACACATACTCGACCAAATAATCAGCTACAACACATGGCACCTCGTGGTTTAGAAACTCCTGAACCCACATGTCGACACGTGGCATTCCCGGGCTGACGATGGCGAAATCGATTCCCGATTGGAGAAAGCGAGTGTAAGGGGGTGAGGTTGCTAAAATGGTCCCGTCCCCAGCCTTGATGACACGTTTCAAAGTATCCTGATCGAGCAAATACCGAAAAGAAAATTAAAAAAGAATGCCCCTGCAGTTAGAATGATTGCAATTTTTATTTTTTTTTTTGGAAAATAAGGATAATAATTAGGATAAACTTCAGGGTTTGTTGTTGTAATTAACCCTTGCTCAAATATTAACCAGACAAATTTAGGGGATGCTTGGATATAAGATGTTTTAATTTTGTTTGGATTTTTTTGTTTGGTATGTGACTAATGTTAAAAAAAATAATATGATTAGTTGCTAGTGAAATTTTGAGTTTATATTAAAATAATTAAATTTGATTGGATGTAAAAGTATGAGAGAGATGATGTGAAGTGATGGTTAATTAAAATTATGTGAGTAGATGGTTAGTAGATTGAAGTTGATGTAATGTGTAAGAATAATTGAGTAGTATTATTTAATTTGATAATATTGAGAATAGTGAAGTTGAGTTTAAAAAAAAAAAGTGATCTGCTAAAAAAATTGGATTTTTTTTTTGAAAAAAAAAATTGTATCCAAGCATCCCCTAACAATCCAAAGAATTAAACTAAGCAACTGGCATACCAGAGGAGGGGCAATACATTCTCCATATATGACTATTTGCATTCCGTAAAATGCGCCATGTCCTGTTTTCTCTTTCAAGAGACGCCATTTTCTTGGTGCCTCTAAGTTGATTGCACCATCTTCGGTCAAGCATTTCTTGTGCCATTCATATGGCTCTTCCGGTAAAAATCTTCCAGCCTCATTGCAAGCTGTTAAGTAATCAGTCTTCAGAATCCATCTGCAAACCATGTTATTTGAAGTCAGTGCATTAGATGCTAAAATTAATGATATAAAGTTGGATGATAATTACATGAACCACACTGCCACCTTCAATCAAGATGCAGAAGGATTGATTTTTTAGGCATTAGAGTTAGAATCCCATTTAAAATTTTTAAATTTATTTATTTACTTTTTGCAAGCACCCTTTACATTAAAAACTTATACCTTCCAGAAGCTGCAGCTGCAAAAAACTTTTCAGTTCTTTTCACAGGATCTGGAACAACGAAATGTGTTGCCTGGTATGACCAATTATGAGAATCTCTGCAAACTCTTCCTTTCAATCGCCTTATTAACTGCTGAAAATCCTTTCTTTGTAGCCTATGCCCACTCAGTATAAACCATGCAGGTTCAGCTTTTTGCTCAAGTTTATTATCTGCACCTTTCCCCCCATTGACACAACTCACAGTTTTAAAGTCCTTTTCCGGAAGCTTTTCACTTCCACTTTGCAGCTTGATTGCATCAGGATCATTTTCCTTCTCAATATTACCTGAGCTTTTTAACTTCTTGGATGGCCTTTTTTTGGTTTTACCAGCTAATAAAACAGTTTCTTCACTTGCTGAACCGCTCTTCTTCTCGTCCTTATCCTTTTTTACTCCATCTCCTGAATCCTTTGACTTACTTGTCTTAGAGTTAACCAAAGGACGTTTCTTGCCTTTCGATATTTTTTTCTCTCTACATTCACTTTTATCTTTCACTTCAGGCAATTCAGCTCCAGTACCATTTTCATCCATCGGTGGAATTTTGCTACAAGCTTCCTTTTCTGAGTTGATGTCATGTTTCCTGAAATGTGGTGCCTCAACTTCTTCATTTTCAGCTTTAGTTTCATCATCCACAGTAGCATCATCAGTGACTTCCATCAGTATTGCTCTCTTCGAATGAGCTACAGATTCATTATTCAAAATAGCTTTCTGAAGGTTAAGTGTCCCTTTGAGCTTTGAGCTACTCCCTTTTCCAATTGATCGTCTGGAGCCTAATGTCTTCTTGGCTAGCAATTTTCTTTTAACTACTTTCGTCTGTGGTGGCATCGTATTTCCTTCAAGTGTACCATTCAGATCATCCTGGCCATCCATTGTTTCTATTCCTGAGTTGGGTTTTGCCACTGGAGGTTCGATATCCTGTACATCACAGTGAGTTGAAGAAAGGTCCTTCACATCAGAACTTGTCATGATCTGCTTTTTCTGTCCTCTGAGGGAAGTATTTAGAGATTCTTTAGGAGCCGCCGAAGAAGCTTCCATTCTAGAAAAACGGCCGGCAACAGCTTTTTGTGGAATATCACAAGCTAACCCACTTAAATGATCAAGGGAGTTTGTAGCCAGCTCACTTACCATTGCCATCTTCGCATCATGGCTCAATATGGGTGATTTCAAGACTGATTTTTCACTCTTATGCGGTGATTTTGCAGTTTGACTTGCATCACAAGTTCCCATTAAAGGTGTTTTTACTTCACGATCAATGCAGAGATTCAGAGATGGTGATTTTTCCCTCTTATCGGGTGATTTTGCAGTTTGGCACGCATCATGGGTTCCCATTAAAGGTGTTTGTACTTCACGATCAATGCAGAGATTCAGAGATGGTGATTTTTCCCTCTTATCGGGTAATTTTGCAGTTTGGCTTGCATCATGGGTTCCCATTAAAGGTGTTTTCACTTCTCGATCAATGCAGAGATCCAGAGATGGCGATTTAGAACCACCTCTGGAAACAGTTGCTTTGCTCTTATTCAGCGTCTTTGCAGTTTGGAACTCTTCATGGGCTGGTAAAGATTCTTTTGGAGGCGTCTCAACTCCATAATCAATGTGAAAACCATCACTGCCACCAAAATTATTTGCATTTCGAGGACTTATTTGTTGAATATTTTCCAATCTTACTGAGGAACTGTGTTTACTGGGAGTAAACTTGCAATTGCTTCTGCAGCTTAATATGGACATGTCAACATCAGGTGACTTCTTGTCCATTTCAGCCACTGGAGCTATGACATTATCGACCTTATCAGAAATGCTTGTGCAGTGGAGCGTGTTTGACAGCACTCTAGGGGAAAATTTTCCAGGGCTCTTGGCACAAAAAGGGCTCAACAGTTTGAGATGCTCTTCATGAATGTCTTGTCTGGGACTTGAATGAATCTTATTGCTGATGGTCCCAGCATTTTCAAGAACTGTAGATGCAATCGGACGTTGTAAACTATTCTGTGAAGTTTCGAGCTTCGCTGGTGAGTGCTGAAAACTTCTGTTCTCGGCTAGTGTATTTTGGGGACCCACAACAATTTTCCTTCCAAAATCTACTGCAGTAGCCATGTCTTCTGTCTCCTCTTCGGAATCTTTAGCTTCAGCCATCATCTCTAACTCGTATCCACTGTAAAAGAGGTTAAGATTAGCATATGACTTATTTGTATGCTAACAATGATTAAAAAAAAAGGCATAGAACATTTTGAATAGTTACCTTTTATCATAATCAGATTCTGGAAGAAGCTCCCAAGCCTTCAAACTACAAATATGCACAAGGACAAAATTATAAACAATTAATAGAAATGAAGGGGCAGTGTAAACATGCATATATAATAAAAGATTTCAGTTCGTATTCAAATATATCAATGGTGAGGAATCAAAATTATGGCATACCAATCTTCCAACCAACGATGGTTAACTAGCTTTATCCTCTTCAATTTCTTGGCCAGCTCATACTTCTCACCTGTCGAAGAATAACTCAGAGAGATGTGAGTAGCAAGCTAAAGACGTTTAATCTTTTAAATTGGTGTCATTGCTAAATACAAGATAGGAGAACCCACCCTCAAACTTGTAGCATATCAGATGAGTAACTTTGTTTGCCACCAATGGCTTTGAAAAACTTGCACCCATCAAGGCAACCATGTTCTACCGAGAAAAAAGAAATTAAAA